GGTGGTGCAGTCTTTACAAACTGTAGATGCTAGTTCATTTCATTTGTGCGTGTAATCAGTTGTGTTACTTGCAGCTCAACATCAGTGTCTGAATTATTTTCCCCTACACAGTTCTCATGTGCAACTGTGAGTTGATGGGAGTGCTTATGGGCACCCAGCTCAACAGCAAGCTGCTGAGAAGGAACCTGAAGCTCAGTAGTGATAGACGTGCCTCTAGGTTTTATGTGAGTGACCTTGATTCTGCACCGTCACTGCTAGGCAGCTGCATTCCAGCAAATACACAATAGAGGAAATCCATTGCTAGGCAATGGACGTGATTTCTGTGCTGTGGTCCGACCCAAGGCTGCATAACCAGAAGCCCAGGCTGGTTAGACAGTTTTGCAGTCATAGATCAGAATTCAGGGAGTCCGCAGTCTGAGGTCATACAAGAAATTTGACTGTGCTAAGAAGACATAGTGTGTGAGCTGAAGAGAAACTACATGTGATGTAGATACAGTGAGACTGTGATAAATCTGTTTTCAGGAACTGGACAGTGAAGGCTGGAGATTCAGCGTGGAGTGAATTGTAGTGTGGGAATCGGCAAGAGTGTTAAACTTAGTTGTAGTTAGTTAGTGAGTGATGAATAAATCCAATTACCAACCCAGACCCTGTTTGTAGTCACTAATACACATGACAATATATATATTTAGTGCATATTTGACAGTCAGTTTAAATCTATCCCTGATGATGGTGGCAGATAGGTTCTGAAGTGGAGTTTCATGCTTCAGTGATGAAGCCAATAATTTATTGCATAGTCACAACAAGAGCACCAAGTCATATGGGGGTTGGAAATTATTTTTCAGATTAGTTTCCATCAGTACTGTTTTGATTTTAAATTTATCAAAACAAATTTCAGAATGAGCACATCTAATCTTCGTGAAGTGTTTGTTTTAAAAAGAGTAGCTTTGATGGAAGTTTCAGTAGAAAATTGTGTAAAATATGTGGGGAGAGAAAAATGGTTTGCATGTTCTTCATACTTAACATTTTGATACACAAAAACGAAAAGATTCCTGGCATGAATTGTAGAAGTTCCAAAGACAGCAGCCCTTTGCTAACTGCAAGTGTTCATATGAGGTTTGAGGTTCTGATGTAACGAAACTGATCACTATTTTGTAGGATGTGACACATGGCATAAGAAATCAAAAATAGTTGGAAATGCATTCTTACTACTTGGTTCCTGTGTCCAGGGCAGTGCTTCTTGCGCACTAAGAGAAAACTCTGTTAAGGAAGATGAAACCTTTTATTTGTATACCTTTTATTTATATATATAATTGGTATTATTTATAAATACAAACCACTCTGTCCAGTGTGACATGTAAGTTTTTACTACGTTAAAACTTATCTCCCTTACATTCCCTTACGGGCCAGCTTCAGAGGGAACATCATTACAAACTGGAAACTACCATCACAATAGGTGGTTTGATTTAAAATACATACACTTATATCCTATAATGCACAGTACGCATAAAGTCGAACGTTTCACAATCACAGCTGATTCCTGGTGTTTTTAAAAGTTTCTAGTGAAAACAACACAGCAAGCCACGAACAAACCCTGGACAACATCAAGAACCTCCTCATCAAGATAGACAGGCAGCACAAAATCTGCCCCATACAAGAAGGACGATAGGAGTACGGACACGAACCTACGTGGTTTAAAAAATTTTAACTATTGACAATAAAGGTTTTTTAAGTAACATCTAGAAACTTTTAAAAACTTTACAATACCAGGAAGCTGCTGTGATTGTGAAACGTTCGACTTTATGCATACTGTGCATGTATTTTAAATCCAAAACACCTATTGTGATGGTAGTTTCCAGTTTGTAATGATGTTCCCTCTGAAGATGGCCCATAAGGACCGAAACATGTAAGGGAGATAAGTTTTAACGTAGTAAAAACTTACATGTCACACTGGACGGAGTGGTTTATATTTATGATTGTTAGTGTGACGGACCAGAATGAAACAAATAAAAAATTGGTATTATTTATTTTGAAATATCACATATGTGGTCTCTGATACCATCCAGTTTGTTGTGTTTCTAACGTTTGTGCAAGTATAGCAAGAATGGCAATTGAGTCCAGATTGGACTGCTAGAACAGTACAAAGATGTAAATGCTTAAAACTGATGAATGTTCTTACGCATAAGCACTTCTTTAATTAAACTGAATATTGTAAGCACATAAAATAGGCACAATAGACCATTGTGGTCGTGGTGCAAGGGCCAAGAGGGCCCACTCCTTATACATTCAAGCACATAAAATGCTCTGTGTATGTTAACAATAATTGAGACAAGGTGAGTGCCAACACAATGACCATGGCTGGAACTTGAGAAGCTGCACCAAGAAGAGTTAACAGTGCAACAACAGCTCATTCTTGAGGATGGATACAGGAACAAGATAATAATTTAACGATGTCATGGTGTATGTTATGTTCTTTGCTGACTCCTATATTGATCCAAGTACAGAAATGATTTTTGGGGTAAAAGGAAAAGTTGTCAATGTTTGTCATGCCATGAAGCGAGACTGAGGAATGGAGATAAGTATATTATTAAGGCAGTTTTACCTTAAGGGAAATAACCCCTTGGTACCTATTGAATAGGATTTAGCAGCTCCTCCCCCTCAAGTTTTTTTTTAACACAGTTCATTGCATCACTTAAAGAAATAATGTGCCAGGTTTTCAATATAGTTTGAGGCAATCCTATTGTTCACTGTAGAATAGTTTGTGGCATATGTGGTTCACCAGGTCTGTACGAAGATGTTCAAGGGACTGCAGACCTCTCCACTAGCACCCATGCATTTTGCTTATTTTGCCTACTCTGCCATCACCGCTAGAAGGAAGTTGTTTGGAATACAGATAATTCCAAACCTTGAATCTGGTAGTAGGCAGATATTTCCATTTTTAGTTACTATTTCAAATTATTTGTGATCACATCACGGTGAAAATAATACCGACCAGTGTCTTTTGCAGTTGTTGGTTTTCATTGCAACAGGTTTAAAAATATGATGGTTCTATACATAAAAGTGAAACGTTTCATATGCTGAAATTTTCTCAGCCAATCAGCCATATCTATGTTGAACTGAGAACCAACATTTCAGAAGTCGTGGTCTCTATCAACCCTGATGATGGCGGCTGCGATATCTGAAACGTTGGTTTTTAGTTCAACATTGACATGGTGGAGAGCCTGAGAATATTCCTAGTATATTTATTCACTATGAAATCTTGTGGAATTTTTCACGATTGCATGTTTACTTATATTTGGAGAATAACTAGGAGCTTGTAGAATGTACCAGATTTCATCTGAGGAAAGTAGTCTGCAACTAGTGTTGGTTGGTTTGAAATGTCTTGTCATTCTTTTCTTTTTGGCACTTAATGGGGTTAGAATTGTCCCAGAATGCAGGTACTTCGCAGACAAGTTTCGAGTAGTGAGGTCATATGCTTTAGTACCAAGCTTGTTATGTTCACAAATGCTGACTTTGATGCTGGGGGAATAACCAATTTTGATTCACCATGATTTTAATTATTTTTGTTAGCAAATTTATTGTTTGATTTCTATTGTCAGGCACACAATTTTTTCTGAAGGTCATTCAGATGCAA